TGAGTTACATATGATTATATGGCATTTTATTGATGTTGAGAAAATCCGACCATTCCACCGTCGAATCAGCGAACTTTTGACAAAAAATTTCGTTTTTCCTCAATAACTCCTAAACCCTTGGAGATACGGGAAAATTGCATAGGACCTTTCTTGTAGAGGACGACGAGATCTACAATTTCCATATAAAAGTTTGTCGCTAGCATTAATAGTTTACGAGTTATTAACGAAAAACGAAAAAACAGTTTTTTGCAAATAACTCGTTAACTATTGACGCTAGCGAAGAATTTTTACATGGAAATTGTAGATCTCATCGTCCTCTACAAGAAAGGTTGTATGCAATTTTCCCGTAAGTACAGCGGTTTGGAAGTTATTGGCGAAAAACGAAAATTTCGCAAAATCTGAAGGGGTACCCCTTGGAAAAATCTCAGAAAAATTGAAAATTTTTTTTTTGTCAAAATATCGAAAAATGCTTTAAGTAAAAGTTGTAGGTACTCCTATTACCTGCAAAAAGGGTCGAATACAATTTTATATCTCAAATACTTCAGGAATAATCAATTAATTATTTCGTCGATCGTGAAACACGACGGGATACCATGAAGGGTATTCGTTCCCTTAATTAATGTTTACCACCGAATTTCGGAAGTGCCGACCCACATGCAAATCGAGTTTCTTATTATAATGGGCTCGAATGAAATGCAAATTGGATGTTTAGGATTGTAATTATCTAGCCGCATAATAGCGCATGGCGTAAAAATGTATCTCTTCGCGATTCAGCAATTACTTCGCCGAGCATCGAACCGGTTCTTAAACGGTTCTCGCCTTGATACAGTTTTCGTTATCTCGAGTGAACAATGGACTTAAACCGGCAACGGCAATATTTAAATTTCCACCGGAGAGAAAGAAAAGGAAAAGAATGGAAAACTGACGTCGACCAACGAAACATATACGTGCGCGTATTTTGTGAAAGATTAATACACACGATCATCGATTCCTCTTTGGGGGAAGATAAATGCCTGGCCACACTGGTATGTCACTGATATATTGATTAACATGATAGACGTTATAAACGATGTAAACTTTCGAATAATAAAAGATCAGAGGTATCATAAACCATAACTAGCGGAATGGCGTTATACACGAGGGAAGACTTTATTACTGACCTTCGAGGCTCGTAGTCATCGCAGTGAAGGAACTACCAAGGTCCTCAGGAAATATCGAGTACCGACGTGACGCGAGGGATTTGTCCAGCGCGAGAGATTTGCATGTGAATAAACTGCGGAGGAGGATGGTAATTTCCTGACGGTGTGAAAGACTGTTTCGACAGGCTCGTAAGTAATATTTCGCTACCTCAACTGGCAATGACAATCGCTTCTTTCTTCCGCGTCTATAAATACGATCTCTCATTCCACTCGAATCGAAATCACTGAACCAGCCAGCTATTTTTGTACAGAGGAAATGAAAATACGTGAGATTACACTTTATTGTTATTTAATCATCGTCCGAATGAACGAGAAGCGGTACTAATTGATTATGATAATGTCTCATAAATTATTTCGTACATAATTTTGTACATAACTCGTCGACGACCGATCGATGCGATTCCCCCGTTTGAGAGAGTCGCTAAAAAAAAGAAACATCTCATCGCTTATGAAAGACGAAATATTATTTATTGCCCTGGCGATTATCCTCGTGATACTCCTCCGCGATCGACGTTCCACGAGCCAAACATCGCCTGGCGAACGCGCCGCGGGAGCCTTCGGAGGAGCCGACCGGGGAATCTCGGCTTCCTGTTACCCAAAGTCCACGGTTATCAGCGAGCGTCCCCGATCGCTTCCGCATCGAGCGGAAGTATCGAGTAGATCCCGCGGGTGGGGTTCCCTGGGTGCGTATAAAGCCGGTGAGAACCGTGCAATTTTCGTCAGTGGAACAGTACCGGAGAGCAGCGACGATCCCTTTTCAAACGTATTCCTTGCGAAGAAGTCATGACTCGTTGTTCGGTCGCTTGTCTCCTCGTTTTACTGTCGTCGACATACGCCTGGCCGTTCCGTCGCCGGGACGTGCTGGACAACTCGGTGGACAGTCCCGGTAGCGTGATCGCTCATCTGCAACATTTCGGGGCGATGTTGTACCGATTCCCGGACAACGAGACCGGGGCGATGGTGGCCAACTGGCACGAGGGCTGGGATCGAAATCCGGAAGAGCTCGGTAACTATGCGGAGGGTGACATCCTGTTCCCACCGCAGCTGGAGAAGAACGGGCTGAAGGCGGAATCCGCTCGGTGGCCCGGCGGCGTGGTGCCTTACATGCTCAGCCCTTATTTCAGTAAGTCCGATCGCGTGAAATTCATCGCGTACATATGAAACGGTGTTCTTGGATTCGATTTTAGACGCGGAGCAGAAGGATCTGATTCACGAAGCTATGAACGATTACCACAAGTACACATGCATCAAATTCAAGCCGTACACCGGCGAGGAGAACGATTACATCAGGATCACGGCGGGTAATAGCGGTTGTTGGAGCAGCGTGGGAAGGGTCGGCGGGCGACAGGACGTGAACCTTCAGGTACCAGGGTGTCTGGTGAAAAAGGGTACAGTCATCCACGAGCTGATGCACGCCGTCGGATTCCTGCACGAACAGAGCAGATACGAGCGGGACGAGTTCGTCACGATCCAGTGGAACAACATCTTGAAAGGTAAGTGGTGAAAGCTGAGATTGCGACGAGGGAACCGATCGGTGGTGCTTAACTGAGAACTGGTCGTTAAAAAAATTGTGATCCAATGTTTGTTGCCGAACGTGCGACAAATGTTCGTTTCACCGATTCACATCGGCATGTACCCGAGCTTCGTTCAATTAGCTTTTACGTTTTGTACCGAGCGACTAAAGAATGAGTTGTCAATTGGGCAGGCCATTCTGGGAATTTCGAGAAGGCCTCGAGGGAGACTACGGACGCGTTCGGCGTAGGATACGACTACGGCAGCGTGATGCACTATTCTGCGAACGCGTTTTCCAGGAATGGGCAGCCCACCATTGTGCCAAAGGTGAGTACCTATAAAATCATCAAGGTCCATAACTTTCTATATCCAGACGATTCAAATAGAACCCATCGATCTGAAGGACCCGTTCATGTGACACCGTGATTTATTCGAATATCAGATTACGCGTGAGATTTCTCCGCGTGAATCTACAAATCACGAAATAATTTATAACAGAGAATAATATTTATTATCGTTTGCGTGAGATTCATTTTTTCAAAGATTACTCGTTATCGATGCTTTTATCTGTACCCCTGAAATGCATCCAGCAACCTCGTGGCAATCTTTTGTTTGATTCCGTAAGGCCAAGCCTGCGTGAATCGTTCGGTGCTGTGTTGGTGTAATCACGGAAGAACACGATACCGCGGAAATCGTGCCGCGCCCACGTCTGCATGACCTGTGATTGTCCGCAGGAACCCGGCGGCCTTCTAAGTTTTATTGCCGAAATATTCCAGGGTACTGCAAAGTCCCAACTGGGTCAGAGACAAGGGTTCAGCAAGAGGGACATACAGAAGATCCGCAAGATGTACAAATGCAACAAGCGCCGACGAAGCAGCTATTGATTACCGGGCCTGCGAGCTCTTCTCCGGAGCAAAGGGAATCGTGAATCTAGTCCTCTACAATATATCTATACGTGTATTACCGTGTTACTTTTAAAGTGCATCCGATCGGCGAACAGAATTTCGCGGCGGAAATGGCAAATCGATATCGACGACGAAGAGAGACCTGCTTTTTTATATCTGCTTCCGTGTGTAATGTGTGTGTGTGTGTGTGTGTGTGTGCGAATCGATAGTTTTTGCGTAATTAATGTTTCCGACGTTCTAATCAGATAGGCTGGATAAATAAATGCGTTCTTTCAAAATCTCTGTTTTATTCAGCCTTTCACCAACGCTTTGATCTTTTATAATAATTTTCTTGGTAATATTATATATGCATGAATGCACGCACGTTTCATGCGAGTTTAATAGGATTCGGAATCGGAAATGGTTCGCCGATTTTAATAAAATTTCATTCGTCGATTAATAAACGGGCGGGTTGTGCGATCCGTTGGCGTACAATATGCACAGATGCAAATGCACTGTTTAAATATAGATAATATACGCTGTCGTGCGTCGTTTCATGCGGGACAGCAGGAGGAAAAAAAGGAAGGGACGCGGAAAACAGAAAAGAGCCGATAGAATATGAAACACTATGCATACACGTGGCCTTCTCCCGTCGATCAAATATTCTATGAAATATTCTAGGGTAAGACTAAACGCGAACTGGGTCACCCTCGGTTCGGATAAATTCAGCGGGAGGGAATATTCGAAAGACGTATAAATGAAACTGATACCGGGAAAACTGTGTCCGCTCGGCGCCGACGACGGCCAGTTTTTATCGACTCGACTTCGTTGGTCTTACTTCGTAATGCACAGGCGTTTAATGCTCGAAACAGATTATTTTAAACGAACGTGTTGCATTGCGCGCGTTTCTCGTATAGATAACAAAAAATGGGAGAAGGTCGCAGTAGGGAATGTCCTGTTAAAACCACTTTTTCGCCACATTTTACTCGACGTTAAGTCATTTAGGTGTACCACTCATGGAAGTTATACTTCGTCTAGTCGCATCTAGCAGATCGTTGTCAAAAAATACAATGGGAACGATTGAGAGCCGGCAATTTTTTTTCGATTCGGAGCGTTCGGCCTTGCCTATTTATACTTTACGAGTTCCAAGACCCCGAGACGAGTGTTCGATTTGCATACGAAAGAAAATTGTCGTGGTATCTTAATCTCGTTGTATCGCGAGCGGAACTTTATCTCATCGGCGTACTTGGCATATAATCCGAGTAACAATATTAACGACCTCGGTTTTTTGCGCTAAAAAACGAATAGCTGTGTACTCGGCGATTTGATCGTGCACCTTGATGTCTCCGAAGAGAAAACGATTTAAGGCGACGGAATATGAACCACGCCTTCTCGGACGAAGTAGCATTTGAGTAAATCATTTTACGTTATCATCGAATGTCCCTGGTGGCTTCCGGATGAAAGCATCGATTCGACACGCCCGTTCTTCGCAGTTTTGCCAAGGTTCCTTGAGATATTATTAATTTAGACTTCTCATCGTCAACGCATTGTCTTGCTCGTTGTCAATAAATCAGTCATACGGTGCATGAAATAAAAATAGAGAAATCTTTTTCCAGAGGAAAAGGTGCAGACAGTTTCGAAGGCACCATCGACAAAGCGTCTACCGAACGTGTCAACTTCGAGAGTGGTGAGTAGCTGGGAGAAGAGTGGCTCGGAACGGCTCGAGGACATGACCAGCAGTCGCGGAGGAGTTGGGATTCCGCGCGGAGGCCGACATCCTATTTCCACCGGGAAATGTAACGAACGGTATGGCACGGGAGAGCGAATTCTGCCGAACGTCATCGTGCTTCATCTCATCAGTCCGCGTTTCAGTAAGTCTTTTACGTTTATACTCGATGGAACTGCGGGTAATATAAAACGAAGTAAAAGCTGCACGACGCGGTAGAACAGGTGGTCGGAGAAATAAGACACTTCTTCCCCAAATTACTTCAATTTTCTACGTTCGACGTATACTTCTGAGTAAAAAATGAAACAGTGACGACGTTCTATTTTATCAATGAACTTCGTTTCGAAACGGGAGGATTTATTTCGTACGGTCGTCGTCGGGAGCGAGGGTGAACAATTAACTGGGTAGATCGTTCCCACAGAGAATTAGCGGCCGGAATTGCTTCGTATCGAGTCACGAACCGCTTTTGTAGACTCCGAGCAACGGAGATTAATTTACGAGGCAATGAATGGTTACCATAAGTACACGTGTATCAGATTCGAGGCTCGCCGCGGCGAGGAGACTGATTACATCAGGATCACGGATCGCAACAGTGCCGGAGCACTGTGGGAAGCGTCGATGGCAAAACGTGGATCTCTCGAAGATCGATCGAAAGGGATCGGATGGAAGGAATTCGACGTTTGTCACGAGTTTAAAACGGGATGCAGTTTTACGCGGACTTCCTTAATCTCCGACGACTCGATCCGACGAAACGATATCCTGGCTCGATCGTGAGCTAACTTCAACGACGGTTTCGTCAGAATCTTGGCGAACGTTCGACGATCCTGTATCTATCATTGAACTAGGTCGACGGGCAGGCAGCGTTCGGCAAAAAGGACGTTTTGAAAGTCCGAATAACGTAGGTCGACCCGACCCGACCGATTCTAATTACTCTTCCACGGAACCCTGTTGTTTCCGATTAGCCAACGAGTCGCTGGTAAACTCAATCAGCATATTTTTATCTGGAGATCGACATCTCTGACACGTTTCGAAGGCGATCCAGTTCAACTGATTCCTTGATAAAAATAAGTCGCAACTCCGATCAGTGAACGGTTTTAACTTTCATATTTCTTGCTCAGTTTTTTATTCTTTCAACAAGATTTTAATGTTCGTTAATTAACAGAAGTATATTACACTCTGAACTCTACTGCTTACGAAAATTGTACAGACGAGAATTCGAGTCTCAATTATTAAACACAGTACTTAACGGTATGAGTTACGACTACTATTAATTATATTTCATACTGTTAAATGAACTATTTACACTAGTTCGTATTCTACCCTTAAACGAACAGGACCGAAAGCCGTAGGAATTATCCGTGCACGATACTACCTTAGCTTTTCTTACCGAAGTACTGAAAAAAATTTGTAATCAACGTGTCTCGACTGTCTGCGAATCGTCCCAATATAAAATAATATTGAAACATCTGGTGAACCGTGATATTACAATCAATTAAAAATTTCGAACGATCGTACGAGTCAATCCCTATATTCGATGGAACATCTTCGAAAAGTGATTTTGCAAAATTAAAAATCTGGGACAAACGAGTTCGAGTCGGTCGGCTACAAATTTCTTTCAGTGAACGGTCTCCCTTTCGTCATCTCAGAGGAAGTTCCTTTTCACGAGAAAACCTCGTTCAGCCGATCCAGGTCCTCTTGATGAAATCCGCGGCCCTCTCGCCGATCATAATAGCGGGCGCGTTCGTATTTCCCGAAGTCACCTTCGGCATGATGCTGGTATCGGCCACTCGCACGCCTCTCACCCCTCTCACTCGCAATTGATTGTCGACCACGGCCAAAGGATCGTCCGGCGGGCCCATCTTACAAGACCCCGCTTGGTGATTCTCCGGCATCGTGTCGTGTTTCACAGCGCATTCCCAATACGCGTCGCAGCCAAACTTCAAATGCTCGCAGTTCTTCACCGGCGTACGGTTCAATTGGAATCCGTATCTGAAAAGGACGAATCGAGACTTTACGGAGACGGAAAGAGTACGAGTCGACGGACGATAGGACGTCGTTGCCAAAGTTCAATTTTAAGATCCGGGATCAACGTCGGTCGCACCTTTTGAGGGCGTCGGTCTCACCGAACCTGAGACCGATCTTGATGGCGTCCACAAGAGCAGCCACGTCTTCGGGCTCGCTGAGGTACTTCGGGTAGATCAACGGTTTCGAGAGAGGGTCGTTATTTCGTAGACGGATGTAACCGCGGCTCTTCGGGTGCAGGTACGTCGGGAACACGAGAATGCTACGATTCGCGCCCTTCGTTTCTCCGACCATCCCTGTTTCCGCGCAGTCCGCCAAGTAACCGCCGAATATGAATTGAACGTCCGGGTGATCATCCCTCGGATTCGCATACTTCGTGTTCACCATCGCCGTCACCTCGGAGACGCCTGTTGGAAGACGAATTGTCATGAGAACAATCGTACTGATACGCGATGCTTGTTACGGCAATACGAGTGTGGAGTTATAAGTGTCAAGTGTTTCCGCGCAATGAATCCTCTTTCCGGGGTGGGTGGGCTGGTTTTAATTAACTCGGCAAATTCCCAGCGCGAACCTCTGGACGCTCGCTCGATTCATTTCCGACGTCGCGACGACGCGATACCGCAATGCGTCGCGACGCGTGCTACGTTCTCGTGATGGCAACGAGCCACAAAGATCGCTGGAAAATTTTAATGCCAAAGAGCCTGGGTTACACGTCTCCGTGGAAGTTCACGCGTAGACAACGTCGGACTCGCGAATCTATGTATTCGTAAGAAAGGAACACTTGTTCTTGGATTACCTTGAAGCAGTGCATACGTTACTGGGACACGTCTCCAGTAACGCATAAGCTTATCCTCACACTCACTATAAGTAGAAAATGATACTAGATTGATTTCACTTTAGATGCAGCGCGACATTTTAACGACCCAGAAACGGGAGGAGTAACACCGTTAGTGGGTATACGAGTAGACCCATCGATCAATAAACTTTTTGTCTCCTATTTTATTCTACCGTACTATTATTGCTTAAAAGATAATAGAAAGCGATCCTAACCCTCATTATACGATATCCTGTAATGCGTTGCAAAAATTAATCGATTTTTATGTCATACGTGCGAACCTTGACCGACTCTGGGAATGTATTTTCGAGACCGGGATCGGCTGAACGAGACAGCCAGGTATATGGGAAAGCATTTATGATTCGCGAATCAATCAATTCGGAGTGCAACCTAGCGTAGAACTGTTCGATCGATTTCGGTGCAAACGGTATCTGGTAAACAAGGTTGCATCAGTCGCTACCCGAAGATCATTGTGCAACGCGCTTTCACCCAGTCAGCGCATACCCTTCATCGTTTCCGATTCAATCAGATGAGCTTTTACTCTGATTCATTTTTAGACAAATAGACCAGTTATTACGCTACGCAATCGTCGATGTTCACCATAGTAAATGAACATTTAACACGATCTGTACAGCTTTCAATTCGTTTTTATTCGATATACTAGTAAGACAAAGGAATGCGTCGTAATTTTCATTAAGTTCGTAAAACGCGCGAAATCTCTAGCGTAGTATGACAAATAGGAAACTCTCGCTTTTCGAAAAAGCGAGAGCATCCAACCACATATGCCTTGTCACCGATAATTGGCCAAAATCGATCATACGATCATCCGGCGATCTCATTTCGGTCACTGATTGGTCGATGACGTAACTAGGACTCCCGAACCTGCGCGACTCGCGACGATCACAAAGGATAACTGTCATTACGGTTCCGACAAGTACAAGGAGTAGTCCTAACGCGAAGTTTTGTCAAGTTTTTTCGTGACCAGTTGCATACCAGAAATGGACGTCGACGTGTACAACTCGGCATCGGCTTTATACGAAAAGGTTCGCTCGATCGGGTTCGATTCAACAGTCTTTTTGAAAAGTGAATTTGATTAGTGCAAAGTGCATGTTCGCAGCTCACCCGTGCCGGACATCAGGCCGTCTCTGAAGAGCAGATACTCCATCGCAGTTGCCCAGTTCAGCGGAGTCGTGTCAGTATCGTTGATGGTGTAAACTAACGTGTAGGCTACGTGATTGTGAAGATTCTTCCCGACGCCTGGCAGATCGTGGACGACGGGAACACCGACGGCGTTCAGATCCTCCTTTGGACCAATGCCACTGTTCATAAGTATTTGCGGTGAGTTTATAGCGCCTAAACGACAAAAGAAATGAACACACTTTAAAGCGATCGCACGGAACGCTCCGACGCAATTTGAGGACTGAAATTGGAAGCGGAAAATTAGGTTTCCATGTAAGTACGATCATGGGAATTCACCGGCGGTAAGATAATCGACATGAGGGAATTGGTTGTTTCAGTACTTCGTTAATGAGTCTTTTTGTGTGAGAGAATAGTTGTAACGCATTCCTTCCTGTTTTCCTTCTTCGATGCTCTCGAAAGTCGATCGCATTTCTTACGTTATCCTCCGTCTCGTATCTACCCGATGTATCGTAGTACGAAAATGACAGATGGATATCGCCATGTAATTTTAATCGATCTGCTGCTATCGCTTATTATACGAATACGTATTTATGATCAGCATATATTATATTCTAACGTTCTATTAAACGAAACCAGTTTTAAGTATACATACAGGACATTAATATGCACATCGCGATCAAATACTTTGTATGAATTTGTCACGGTTAACTCGTTCGTGTTTCCTTTTGGTAAAAAGGGAATTCGATCTCTATCGAATTCCTCACTAATGAAGTAATTTATATTAATATTACGAGTCGGCTTATATCGAACGACGTAATTACCTCCGCTGACGACCACTTCCTTCGCTACGGAAACTCGGTTAATTTTTTCGTCGTGAACGAACTCTACGCCGACCGCTCTCTTGTTGTTGTCGAAGAGGATTCTAGTAGCCGTGGAATTGAGCATTATGTGCAGATTTGGTCGATTCCTGGCTGGACGTAGAAATGCACGGGCTGTCGAGAGCCGTGAGCCATTCCTCGAAGTCGTCTGAGCTATCGCGAACCCGGTGTGAGTCCGTCCGTTCAAATCAACCACTCTGTATCCTGTGGGTAATCAAATGCGAGCTTCTTTATGTTCAGGACTGCTATGTGGATTTTTTAAACATAGAACGGTATTTAGGATGGAAATCGATCGTTTCATTGTTCTCATTGGTACTTTGAAGACGAACTGAAAAGAATGTCTCAAATTAACATTGAGAAAGATATAAATGCATTACGACGCAACTGGTGGTCTAAAAGCGTCTCGGTATTAGCATTCCAGTCAGTAGTCACAAGTTCCACTGAAATTTCGCGTGAAAATTACATAATTGGCGTTTACCCCGAAAACCATGAACCAGTTACAAATCGTGACAAGGTTATTCATCCGCTATTGGAGCGTGTGTGTACCGCGTATCAGATAATTCCGTGGAAAGCTGCCGATGAAAATGGTGCTCCGATCACCGATTACGTAAACGAATTTTTCCGAAACGGGTCGTTAGACTCGCGCGAGCCACAACAACAACGGAACAAAGACGGAGCGAGCGTTGCTTAAAGTGTGACGTGTAATAAACAGGTTTCGAGCGATTCGAGTTAAGTAGATCACCTTGTTAAACCAAACGTTTTCGAGCTCTTTATCCGACTTTCTCGGCCGCTTATTTCTACCGCGGGCAGACACTCGCGATGGATATTGTATAACGTCCACGTGTTTCTGTTCGTTCGATTCGCCTTACTCGTATCGTTCCAAGGACAGTAGTTTAATCAATTTTGCATGTACGATACCGTATTTTTATGGATCAAAACGAGTAATCAAAGACACGAGACCAGGTCTCGAGTTAAAGTTTTACGCAATGGTACTTGGTCGAACGAATATTTGACAATAAACTCACCGAGTTCCTTGCCAGCGTCCAGTAAGGCGTAACTCAACGGCGGGTGATAAGGGAACTGGGTGACGGTGAGCGGGCCGCCGACACCGTGGTAACCGTAATCCATGATGTTTGCCTGAAGATTATCTTCGCTCCTGATGAAGTACGGAAGGACGTCTTGATAGGACCATCCGACGTTGCCCAGCTTGGCCCAGTCGTCGTAATCCTTTCGCGAGCCCCTCATGTACGTCATCCCGTTCATCACGCTGGTACCTCCTAACACCTGTACGCAACGCATCGTACGTCAGATCGGTGCAGATCGTTTAAACACGAACGACGAATATTGTACATACTTTGCCCCTTGGCCAGTAACATTTCCGGTCGTTGTTGTTCAGGCAAGCAGTGTCCTCGCTCTCGGTGTTGTACTGCCAGTCGATGTCGGTCCCGAGGAAGTTCAAGAAGAACGAGGGTATGTGGGTCCCGGTAGGCTCGTCCGGACCGGCTTCTAACAGCAGCACCGAAAATCTCGGCTCTTCCGATAATCGTGCCGCAACCGTCGCACCGCCACTCCCGCCTCCGATCACCACGAAATCGTACCTGACGATCAACGCGAAGTATCACAGTGATTGGCCCAATTTCTGTTCCGATTTCTATTCACTGACACAACAATTATAGTAAAAAAAGCTAAAAGAAGCGAGCAAAAGAAATGGTTCGAGCCGACGATGTAATTGACGCGTCAAAGTCAAGTTTCGTCGAGTCCGCGTGTTAGCCCTCCTTGTTACGAAACGAGCGTCGCGTAATTTTATTGCGAACAAGGTTACGATTTCACTTTTACTTCATAGGACGGATCAGCTGGATGGTTCTCTTCGGCGTCCTTTTAACGACGAACGTCGACGCATCTTCCTCGCGCGGTTGATGGCATGCGAATTAGAAACTGGGTCAAAGGAACGGGAGTCCTAGCCAGGTGGCCGAGCGCCGAGCGAAAGGTGGATTTCTCAGGAGTTTGTTCAAGCGGGATGTAATGGTATTTTGAATGTCATCAGTCGAACGGAATACTCCGTAAAATACCGTCCCTACGGAGCGACCGAAAAAGATTCGCCCAAGTTTTCGGTTCCTTCAACAGTGGCTTTGACGAAGAACGATTACGATCGTCCTATCTCCACTGACATTTCTCTGTCCCACTTGAATCGCTAGATATTGTTTTAGATTAATCGTCGATGCGCGCGTCTTACATAAGCCCTGACGCGAATTTGTTGCCGTTATGACTCGAAGCGATCATAATTCATCGTTATTAAAAATACGACATGAACATTTTTACAATTTCATTCTGGGAAGCGTGTTTACGATTGCTGTTCTTAGAGCCGCGCATCCACGATTATCAGCATGACAGCCAGATTGTTCATCAGCGGAATTCTATAATTTCCATAACAGCGATGAGTAATCAGAAAACGCTTTAAACTGATTTATGCAATTTGCTAGATGCTCGCTCATTGTTCGTCGTTTCACTTCCGCGACTTGACCCATCCTCTATTCCCCGGTCGTAAAACGTTTCGAATCGTTTGTCATCGTCAGTAAACACTACCGTTTTCTCGAATAACAAAATTTTCCGTACGTTAAATAACTAATCTTCTCTGAGCTTCGGCGAAACAAAAGACATACGTAAGGACGGAACAAACCGATCTTCGAGGTCCGCGTAATCAGCTCGACGCTGGCAGCGTTTTATCGTTAATCACGGTTCGCCGTCGATATTGACGTTGCACGCGTTTTTCATTAATCATCGGCAGATCTTTTTGCACAATAAAATGTTTACTGCGTCCATTTAAATACTCGAGCTTTTGATATTTATAATCGTTTTAATCGCGTACAATTTTCAGTACGGCATAAAATCGGCGTGATTAAAAATGATATTTTGATCGGAAGAAATGTATAGCAGGGAACGTATTCTACGTCCAATTAGGTATACAGCGGTTGTGTAATTCGCACGCATGAGAAACGCGAAAACAAGCTAATTAAATGCATATGAATCGATGAACGCGTATCTCCCGAGAAATCGGTTAATAATGGTTCATCCCTCGTCGCATCCTGGCCGCGTCTACGCCGAGCAGCAGGCGGCGGCGTGACGTAAAACAAGTTCAATGAAACAATACCCGAACGGGTAACGACACGGTCTTACGGAATGCGTGTTGCGCGTCGAAACGCGATAATGACTCGGCAGGCGGGGAATCGGGCCTGCGTAATACAGGTATTGAAATCGGAATTATGCCACGATCTGGGAACGAATCAGCCGGATGACGGCGATGACCAAATCATTTTTTAAAAATAGAATTTATAGCAGAGACTAGATTTCGTGTTTCGTTCGATCTCTTCCGGGAAACTGGAAACGAGCTCGCTGCACAATCGGAGAGATGAACGTGCCCGATAACGTCGCGTCGCAATTATGGATGGCGAGCCGCCGGGAGTGTCTCTGACTGATGCGCTTTCGATTTCGCCCAATTACGTGTAACCGAGCCGAGCGTGTTACACGGCCAGAGGGAAGATGTAACAGTCGGAATCGGTTGCCACAGTCCGTATCCGGTGGGTAGAAGTGCAAGCGCGGATTCAGCCGGGGCCGAGGAGCGTGATGCAACGTGAGAGAATCTTTGGAACAATGGCCCGGCGGGCTATTACGCGTGGATACACACGCAACGATTTCACGGATAGGTATGCACGGATGCTCGCTTCCGAGAGACAGAGACAACGGAACCCACAGTTTCTATGCGAGCCCGTTACGTGAACCGTGTCCGCGACAATTAAGAAGACGCGTCTCTTCTCGTTCGGTGTCGTTCAACCGATCGCGACGTTCTCGTTCCTCAACGGTTTCATCGACCGGCTCTTCCGGATTTTCTTTCGATACGCTCCGATGCCCCGTCGGGGACCGTCTAACGAAACGGAACGACGCGCTGTTACAGCCAAGGACCGGGTCGATCGACTGTACACGGAAGCTGCGACCACGGGAAGACGTCTTTTCGTTTTACCTGGAGTTGACGACCGGTGGCGGACTGGGCCTGTTGCACGGATCCTCGAGATCGCACTGGCTGCGAAGGAACACCTCTAGGAGGCCCATGAAGAGCATGAACGACGAACCGCCGCACGTCGACGCCAGCGTTGGCCCCGTCGAAGGGGCCAGTGGACAATTACAGCTCATCTGAAATCACGAATCATGGGTTCAACGATTAGAAGGGACTCTGTTCTCTCGATTATTTATCGGTGCAAACAGCGAGTCCAATTAAACGTTGATTAAATTATCCGTAAACCGATAAAGGAGCGCAGCGTAGCGAAATCGTGAGTCGGCAAATTTTACGACGATCCGAGCCGAGTATTTTTGTTCGCTCAAAGGGTAGTGGAAAAAAAGTAGCCCGCAGGCAATCGTCGGACTTTCTATCCGAACGCTTCGTTGCCCGACCCTTCGATTCGATAAAGTTTCGTCGTAAAGAGAGAAAAGAGAAATTGCAACGACTGTGACACTCTACTAATCATACTTCCCGATCGTTTCCTCGTTACGACGATACAAATTATGCGGGGTCCGCGTAGACGAGAATTAACGAGCGTATGGACAGGTCGATCACCTCTCTTAGAATTTATCTTTTTCGAGATAACGAAAGAATCGCGTGTCGTTGAATTTTAATTAGAAACCGCGTATCGGCCGAAACGCGGACCGTCGACGTACCACGACACGGTTCCCAATATTGTTTAATTTCAATGGAAATTGGATTCATTCGGCGTGTCGCGAGGAAATTCATCAGTATCGAGTTTCGGGAACGCTGTCGACCAATCCAGGATCATCGGTATGAACGAACGCGAGAGCTACGATCCGTATTGCGTCGTTCGTTGTCAAATTTTAATTGAATCTGTCTCTGTACAGGATTTTCATTCTCGCGAGTCCTACGACTGCCCAAGGCGAAATTCACGGCTACCGCTGTTTATGTAAACTTCGATCGGACGGGTCCGAGCTGTTATCAATTCCATCCAATTAACTGGCGATTAAACGGTTTATCGCGTTTCACGGAGGAGGAAAACGTGGCCGGAGTCGGGTCACGTAGAATCGATGAAACGAATTCGCGAGGAGCGTGCCGATGCGCCTCCGACCGACGTGCCCCATTCTTCAAGATCGTTTTCCCAGATTGCCGGGACCGGGAACGATTTACAACGATGCTTTCTAACCGCGAAACGGGTCGCCGTTAACTTCGTCCTGGAACGCTCTGCTACGTTTTTGCACGTCTCGTCACTTCTCTTCCTCCTGCGCTTCTTATTATATCGTCCGGCGTTACGCGACTCAACTGCGATCGACCATAATTCTATCCTCTCCGCAGATGGAGATACGTTATGCAAAATGTGAACATTTCCGGCAATTGTACACTCCCGTTTAAAACCTGAGAATCTCACCGAGGAAGATACGTGAAATCAACGACTGCACCTTCTCGATGTTAAATTTGACCGTAAATCGAACAGTGAAACGGAGCTGGAAATCCCTGATCGTTTCTCCGTTCGTCGCACGGAGTCATTAATATTAATCATCGCCGAGTGACAAATACCTACTCGTTGATCATCGAATATTCGTTTGGAACCGGTTTAAAAGGGCATTGCCAGCCGGCGTGAACCTGCGAGATTCAGTGCACAACTGTACATACATACATACTCACCTTCGATACCGTTACGTTCACTGCCCGGAGACCGATTCTATGCGTGAGCGTTACGAAAGTCACGCAGTTTTCCAGCTTCACTTTTTTTCTCCGGTCTCCTGCCTGCCGACTTTTTATCCGAAGACTTCCACCGGCGTAATAAGCTAATTGCGCCTGGCTGCCGATCCCGTCCGTCGATCGGACACGCGTACCCCGTGTGTCGAAAGAATAAATTTCGTGCCCTCGACCGAGAGCGTTCCTTATCAGAAACATCGCTACAGGTGTCCGCTGGCAATTACGCCGAGTCTCTCGCGTCGACAATGTTCAATTACTATCGATCTCAAAACGAAGGGATTTTTTTAACATCGAATTTCACGCGTCGACGTCGTCCAAGTGCAATGGAAAGGGACGATTATTTAATACCGTTTTATAACTATTACGACATAATTCCAGAGGCTGTTTTTCTGTCACAAAGATAACCGAAGAAAGTGTGGGATGCTTCCTCGTCTACGTTACCACGATTCCGCCGATTTATTACGATGGAAATCATAACAGCCACCGACACGGCTCTGTTTCCCGAGGAAACGACGAATGCAAAATGTGTTTCACAGAAGTTTCGTTGGGAATTGCTTGGACGACGCGGAGACGAATAGTCGGCTCGTCTCAAATAAATTATTTCCAGCCGCCTGTGAAGCCTTGCGTCGGGTCTAGTAGATAATAATTATTATTACTAGCACCTATGGCACAGTCACGCAATCGAAATCATCGGCAGCCTGGCTTCTGACTATCCTTGTAACGTTTTGCATTTCGTCATATCGCGTGCACGTCGATCAAAATTTTTCTAACGCAATTTATTTATACCGGACAATGAAACGTAATGGATACTTAACCGTTATTTTCGTCTGGACTTCTTATACAACGAATCGCACGAATTTCTCATTGAGGATATAAAACGTGGACCGTTATTTTTATACTCCATAAACAGCGTGTGTGTGCATACGGTACGACGAACCTAGTGGGAACGTTTCAAGGGAAAAGTAGAATGATTCCACGGCTCTTAATGCCAAGGTACTTAAACCGCGTCGCGAGATACGCGGGAGATAGTACCTACGGATTATGCTAAACTTCTTTATTCTATGTGACGCGTATCGAACAGCTTTAGCGATATCGAACTGTTCTGCGAACCGTCGGTGGATCGGAAAAAGTGTACGATCATCGACGTTTCGAGCGTCGCTTCGAAATTCAAGTTGTCGTCAAATTAGCACACAATGGGCTGTTCTCGAAAGTTACTCGGGATTTGCTCAATTCTGAATCCGTCCTAATTTTCCTGTTCGTTAGGGACAGATGTTTCCCGCATAATTAGATTCAGAGTTGAGATTGCGCATTCGATTATCTCACAGCATCTTATATACCCGCCGCGTGTACTCATATCGGAGCGACGTTCCTTCGTCGTTACACAATTCTCGCGACTTCGTTCCACCGGCTAGGTGTATTGTTTAACGTAAAACCGTGAACGAGCAAAGATCTCTGGTTACGAGGAAAGCATTTTCGAGGAAAGTCTGTTCTTCCTTTATTGAGGGACTCTTCTCTTTGTAGATTCGCGAATCGTGAGAAGAATTTAGATTAATACGCACAGTGTCGAATGATCAATGAGAAATTTTGTCAATCGAGTGACTGGATAAATGAAATGTCAATCATTTACTATCGGATGCTATTCATGCCGTCGAAGCAAAGCGAATTGGAACGCCGTCTTCATACGATAAATGCATCTCTCACTTCTCCTTTTTCACGAATGACAATTGATCATCGTTCGCCAGGATGCAATTCTACTCGAATGTAAATAAGAAAGTCCGACGAATCGGAGGAAGAGCGCTCACCTCAGGATGGAACTCGTTGACCTTTATTTATCCTACGTAGCCACTGAGAAGCGAGATCGTGGATCCTCGGCGTGTCGACGAGTACACGCGGAATAAACGGGACGGGATCCGTAGTTCGCGGTACCACGATCGACGACGGACTAACCCGATACCATTCTCCATCGCGGTTGTAATATTCGACAACCTCCACCACTTTCTCACCTTCCCTTCTGCTTCGGGTACATACCGACTTATGGAAATCACCGCCTCCGATGGCTAGCGCACCGGCTAATCACGATGAAAATTCGCATTTTTAAATCTGCAAATCATTGTCACCGATCCTAATGAAAAATACGTTCCAACTATTAATTTATTAATCTTATTTCTGATTGGCATTCATTTTTGCAAATTTCTGACCGGACATAGCATTTCATTCCAAGTCAATGAAACACTCGAAATTTTCACGTCTCATGGCAGTCATTGTTCGTAAATCATTGCCAATGTTACTGCGTTACACGCTTCGATGCAATCGTTCTCACTTTTCAAGAACCGCGTGACCGACGATGATACTTTGAATTATTCTACGAACCGTCGTATTTTACGCAACGAGAGCGATCCTTCCAATGAAAGTCATTCCAACGCGTGTAACGCATGTAAGTTAATGACAGGATGGAAATGATTTCACGACTTACATAAGTTTTCTCGTATCTCTCTTTCGCGCTTCATTTCACGTCCCTACTTTCGACGAGATCGAGCATCGAACACGCGTCGATCTCTTTTCATCGTAATTTCATTACAAACCGAGGCATAATTTATGTTTTTGCGAGGGCAACAGTTCTGTCGATATATAAATACACGTTTTAATGCTGCGTCGATCGAAAAGCAGGAACATCTTTATTTTCTACATCTCTAGATTCTATCTGACGAATCGGGTTTCGAAGTTTCTTTATTAAGAGCGACCGATCAAATGTTTATTGATCGTTGGAAGATTTCGAATCAGTCCGATTGTAGTCGACGTACGAATAATCCTGAAAAGGAATCTCTGCGTTACTGGCACCGTAACTGGGTGGGTTGTAAAATTGCCGAACGTTGGTTTCCTGTTCGGGATAAATGGACACAGGCTCCGAACTTTTTTCCTACGGGTAAAATTTAATAACCATGCAACCGTTTACCGTGTTAAATTGTTTAACGTGAAATGCAAACCTGTTGAACCGACACTGTTCCCACGGAATCCGGCTCGCGTACATCGTTCTCGATTTTCTCGACGGTCGTAACTTTCAGTTCGGCCGTCATAGATTTTGCTCTGTCGTTTACAAAATTTTTCGGTGAACTTCCGTCGGGTCTCGGTTCCGTTTGATCGTCCTCCGCGTTTATGACTTCCATCAGAGTTTGTATGTAAGGCAACAGGCCGTCCTTGTTCAACGCGAACAGTAGATCTAAGTCCGAATCGTCGTTGTTCTCGTTCAGTTCCGATGATGAATGAACGTCGTTTAATCGACCCGAGTGATTAATAGATCGATCGTCGTCTGAAACGTAGGACGTTGTTTAAGGATGTAAAATAGTGCACTTTTCTTCTAATTTCGATATTTAATGAGTTACATATGATTATATCGCATTTTATTGATGTTGACAAAATCCGACCATTCCACCGTCGAAATAGCCAACTTTTGGAAAAAGATTTCGTTTTTTGCCAATAACTCCCGAACAGATGGACGTAGGTGGACGTATTTAGACTCATTTTGTAGAGGACGACGAGATCTACAATTTCCATGTAAAAATATTTCGCTAGCATCAATATTTAACGAGTTATTGACGAAAAACGAAAAAACAGTTTTTTGCAAATTACTCGTAAACCATTAGAGCTAGCCAAACATTTTTATACAGAAATTGTAGATCTCGTCGTCCTCTACAA